ACGTGACTTTGCTCCTCCTTTGCCTTCTGCCATGATTGTGAGGCCTCTCCAGCCATGTGGAACTGTGAGTTAATTAAACCTCTTTCCTTGAGAAACTACCCAGTCTCAGTCTCGGGTATCTCCTTATCAGCAGCATGAAAACAAACTAATGTACCATTGAACCCGGGAATCCCATTACTGGATATATACCTAAAGAACTATAAACCATTCTATTATAAAGATACATGCACGTGTATGTTCACTGCAACACTATTCACAATAGCAAAGGCATGGAATCAACCGAAATGCCCATCAATGATAGACTGGATACAGAAAATGTGGTACATATACACCATTGAATACTATGCAGCCATAAAAAGGAACAAGATCATGTCCTTTGCAGGGACATGGATGGAGCTAAAGGCCATTATCCTTAGCAAACTAATGCAGGAACAGAAAACCGAACACTGAATGTTCTGACTTATAAGTGGGAGCTAAGTGATGATAACATATGGATACATAGAGGGCAACAACAGACACTGAGGCCTAATTGAGGATGGAGGGTGGGAAGAGGGAGAGGATTGGAAAAAATAAAAAATTAGTACTAGGCTTAATACCTGGGTGATGAAATAATCTATACAACAAATCCCCAAGACACACGTTTATCTATGTAACACACCTGCACATACACCTCTGAACTTAAAAGTTTTTTTAAAAAATTGAATAAACAAATTTATATGGAAAAATAAATTATTCAGAATAGCCAAATCAAATGTGCAGAACAACAAAGCTAGATGCTTACTTTACCAGACATCAAGACAATTAAAATTAAGAATTTCCATTTAATCATAAGTGACTAGAAAAAGCAAATCACAGACTGAAAGAAGTTATTTGCAATACACATATCCAACTAAGAGCTCATCTTCAGTATACATTAAAAACTCCCATGAATCAGTTAAAAAAATGACTAAAAACTTACTAAAAAGATGGCCAAAATCTTAAATGGGCACTTCACAGATGAGGGTAGCCAAAAGCCAATAAGCATATTAAAAAGTGCTGAAAATCGTTATTTATCAGGAAAATACAAATTAAAACCAAAACGAGATACCACTATGCTCATCCGGTTGTCAGAAAGGACTGACAATATCAAGTGTTAGTGAGATGTGGAGCAACTAGTATTCTCCTACATCACTTATCAGTGTCTACTAAATCTAAAAATGCCTACCCTAGTAATTTTTAAAATTAATTATGAACTTGATAATTGTATTATTTATTCCAATGAATCTTTTTTTTCTTTGAGACAGAGTCTCACTTTATCACCCAGGCTATACAGCCTCTGCCTCCCAGGTTCAAGTGATTCTTGTGTCTCAGCCTCCCAAGTACTTGGCACTTCAGGTTCATGTCACCACACCCGGCTAATTTTTGTATTTTTAGTAAAGATGGGGTTTCACCATGTCGATCACGCTGGTCTTGAACTCCAGACTTCAAGTGATCCACCCACCTCTGCCTCAAAAAGTGCTAGGATTACAGGTGTGATTTGCTGCATCCAGTCTCTAATGAATTTAACAGTGGCTTAATTTTATGCACATATAGTTGTCATTAATTTTTTTTTTTAATTTTAGGCTCGGTGGTACATGTAAAAATTTGCTATATAGGTAAACTGTGTGTCACAGGTGTTTGGTGTACAAATGATTTCGTCACCCAGGTAATAAGTACAGTACACTATAGGTAGTTTTTCAGTCCTCATCCTCTTCCTACCCTCCACCCTCAAGTAGGGCCCTACTGTCTGTTGGTCCCTTCTTTGTGTTCAAGTGTACTCAATGTTTAGCTTCCACTTATAAGTGAGGGTGTGCAGTATTTGGTTTTCTGTTCCTGCATTGGTTTGCTTAGGCTAATGGCCTCCAGTTCCATCCATGTTCCTGCAAAGGACATGATCTCATTCTTGTCCAAGTGACAAGAACAGTATATCTATCGCATTTTCTTTATCCAGTCTATGACTGATGGATATGTAGGTTGATTATATGTCTTTGCTATTGTGAATAGTGCTGTGGTGAACATACTCATGCACGTGTCTTTATGGCAGAACAATTTATATTTGTTAGGGTACATACCCAATCACGGGATTACTAGGTAAATCAGTAATTTTCACAACAGAAATGAATTATTATGCTCCCCCCAAAGACACATACGCCATGTTAATAGCAGTGTTATTCATACTAGCCTCAAAGTGGAAATAATTCAAGCGTCCATCAACAGTAGAACAGATCTAGTATTGCAACATATTCACTCAGCGCAATAACACGAATTAATCTCATAGCGATAATGTTGAGTCAAAGAGGCTAGACACAAAAGAGTATATCCTAGATGAGTTCATGTATCTAAAGTCCAAAACCACTATTCTGACTTTTAATGATGACAGAGGTCTGAACAGTGGTTAACTCTGGGGGAGTATCAATTTGAGAAGGAGCCCAAAGGAGGGCGCTGGAGTGTTGAAAATGTCTTATAACTTTACCTGGATAGTAGCTACACTGATGTTTACACTGGAAAAGTTCTTTATGTAAGTTTTTCCTTATAAAAAACAGAAAAATATTAAAAAGAGAAAAACAATCAGATAAGCAATCACTGATGACTATTTGATTATATTAAAGAATTAGTATTCTTTTTTTTCGGTGTACAATGGTACTATGGCTATATTTTAAAGGATTTTCTATTTTTAGAGGGATATATGAAAGTCATTACAGACAAAATGATGTGTTGACTGGGATTTGTTTCAAAATCATTGGGGCAAAGAGATTAAAAGGGAACAGAAGATAGATAAAACTGGCCATGACTTGATAATGATTGAAGCTGAGTGACAAGAACATCAGAATTCATTAAATTATTCTATGTACTTTTGAAATTTTTCCAAAATAAAAAGGTAAAAAACAAGGCCAGGCATGATGGCTCACACCTATAATCCCAGCACTTTGGGAGGCTGAAGCAGGAGGATTGCTTGAGACTAGGAGTTCCAAACCAGCCTAGGCAACATAGTGAGACCCTGTCTCTAAAAAATTTTTAAAACATACTTATAAGGTGTCTTTTGGAATCCTTTCATGAGACGGCCTCTTACATTCACTGCATCTGCTTTTTAAAAATGAACCATCAGTAATAAAACGGCTCTAAAATTTTCTCTCTATGAGTCATCCAAAGGCAGAAAACCTGCTGTGAATGAAAGGAAGGAACTGATCCCCTATTCTGGTATTTGCCAGCATTGCCTTGGAAATTTTCTAAAGTTTCTCCAGGATATTAAAAACTTGACTGATGAAGACTTTATTTCCTGAAACACAGTGGAAGAGAACATATATATTTGATTCTCAGAGGAACATTTCTCACTTAGGTAAGTGGGCATCATCACCATAAAACAGTCCCTAACTGAGTATGTTTCTTTAAATGCAATTTTACTGCCCAAAGTGGTGAATAGCTGGAATTTTTTAAGTCTTTCATTTTTCTGAAAATGTCCTAAATTTATTTAATGTTTAGTTCTTAGAAAAATTTTCCAAAATGACTTTTCTCCCCTTCCAATGTGTGGAGGTTTGGATTCTTGGGGATTACAAAGGAAGCACAGGGCCACCTGAATCTAATCAGCCCACAGCTGTCATCCACATCTTTCACTGCAGCCCTGAGACCTGAGGGTTGAAGAAAAACTGCATGCACTCACCCCTGCTACTCTTAATGGAAGCTATTCTTTTCTGTGACCCATGCTGTTGAAAAATCACAGTCCCAGGGGACCACTGGAGTTAACTTTGTGCAATTAGCAAAAACGGCAACATTGAATGCTTCTCTAATGCCTTAGACCTTGCCTTCAAAACACAATTTTTGCCAAAAGGACAAGCGATATCCTCTGCTCTGCTTGGTATCATCAAAAGCGGACTTTAAGATGACAAAATTGGTTTGGTATTTCATATTTTCTTCTGAAAGAAGAGAGAAACAATGCCAAGAAAAGAAAACTACATGGGTGAAGCTACTTGTTGCAACATTAACCAGAATAGAGAAAAACTTGGTTTTAACAGATCATTGGTAAAAAGTTTCATGACATTGCATTTGACAATTATTTCTTGGGTATGACACCGAAGCACAGGTAATAAAAGTACATAACTTGAACTACACTAAAATTTAAAACTTCTGTGCCTCACAGAACATAAGCAGTAGGCTGAAAAGTCAACCAACCTATGGAACTGGAGAAAATATTTGCAAATCATGTATCTGACAAGGGGTTAATATTCAGAATATATAAAGAGCTTCTACAACTCAGCAACAACAAAAAACAAACAACCTAATTAAAAACTTGGCAAAGAGCCTGAATAGACATTTCTCCAAAGAAGATATACCAACGGCTATATAAGCACATGAACAGAAGCTCACCATCACTGATCACTAGGGAAATGCAAAGCAAAGCCACAATGAGACACCACCTCGCGCCCACTAGGATAGCTACTATCGAAAATATAACAAAGTAAGTTTCAGAAAGGATGTGGACTGGAACCCTTGCATACCATTGGTGGGGGTGTAAGGTGGTGTAGCCACAATGGAAAACTATAGGCAGTTTCCCCAAAAATTAGAAATAGAATTACCACATGATCTAGCAATTCCACTTCTAGGCATATACACAAAACATTGAAAGCAAAGACTCAAACAGATATTTGTACACCCATGTTCATAGCAGCATTATTCACAACAGCCAAAAGGTGAAAGCAACTCTAATGCTCACAGACAGATGAATGGATAAACAAAATGTGGTATACATACAATGGAATATTATTCAGCCTTAAAGAAAATTCTGATACATGTGACAAAATGGATGAACCTTGTGGACATTATTCTAAGTGAAATAAGCCAGCCCAAAAAGATTAATACTGTAGGAAACAATAGAGGCCTTGTGCATAGAGCGAGTGCCTGCATCCTCCCCACCCCTCCCACAACACTCCACTCCAGGATTCCCCCAGCTTGCTTGCCCACCACGGCCAAGGAAGCAGCCTTCAGTGATGGAAGAACAAGTGATCAATGAGGAGTACAAAATATGGAAAAAGAACACTCCTTTTCTTTGTGATGTGGTGATGACCCATGCTCTGGAGTGGCCTAGCCTAACTGCCTAGTGGCTTCTAGATGTAACCAGACCAGAAGGGAAAAGATTTCAGCATTCATCGACTTGTCCTGGGGACACACACATCAGATGAACAAAACCATCTTGTTATAGTCAGTGTGCAACTCCCTAATGATGATGCTCAGTTTGATGTGTCACACTACAACAGTGAGAAAGGAGAATTCAGAGGTTTTGGTTCAGTTAGTGGAAAACATGAAATAGAAATCAAGATCAAGCATGAAGGGAGAAGTAAACAGGGCCCGTTATATGCCCCAGAACCCTTGTATCGTCGCAACAAAGACTTCTTCCAGTGATGTTCTTGTCTTTGACTATACAAAACATCCTTCTAAACCAGATCCTTCTAGAGAATGCAACCCAGACTTGCATCTCCGTGGACATCAGAAGGAAGGCTATGGGCTTTCTTGGAACCCAAATCTCAGTGGGCACTTACTTAGTGCTTCAGATGACCACACCATCTGCCTGTGGGACATCAGTGCTGTTCCAAAGGAGGGAAAAGTGGTGGAGGCGAAGACCATCTTTACAGGGCATACAGCAGCAGATGTTTCCTGGCATCTGCTCCATGAGTCTCTGTTTGGATCAGTTGCTGATGATCAGAAACTTATGATTTGGAATACTCATTCAAACAATACTTTCAACCACTCAGTTGATGTTCACACTGCTAAAGTGAACTGCCTCTCTTTCAATCCTTATAGTGAGTTCATTCTTGCCACAGGATCAGCTGACAAGACTTTGCCTTGTGGGATCTGAGAAATCTGAAACTTACGTTGCATTCCTTTGAATCATATAAGGATGAAATATTCCAGATTCAGTAGTCACTTCACAATGAGACTGTTTTGGCTTCCAGTGGTACTGATTACAGACTGAATGTCTGGGATTTAAGTAAAACTGGAGAAGAACAATCCCCAGAAAATGCAGAAGACGGGCCACCAGAGTTGTTGTTTATTCATGGTTGTCACACTGCCAAGATATCTGATTTCTCCTGGAATCCCAGTGACCCTTGGGTGATTTGTTCTGAATCAGAAGACAATATCATGCAAGTGTGGCAAATGGCAGAGAACATTTATAATGATGAAGACCCTGAAGGAAGCGTGGATCTGGAAGGGCAAGGGTCCTAGATATACATGTCTTTACCTCTTGTGATTTTAGACTCCCCTTTTTTCTTCTCAACTCTGAGACTGATTTAACACTGGTTTTGAGACACGGACTTTGTTCAGCTATCCCTCTGCATAATAGGTACCACCAATAATGCTATTAACCCAAACAGTGGGTGTTTTCTAAATGGGGGCTTGATTTAGCAAAGCCACAGACTTACACTGAAATTTTCTTCAGGAATTTTATAGTAATAAACCCAGGTCTAAAGCAGCTACAGAAAGAGGAATATTATGTGTGATTATTTTTCTTCTTATGCTATATCCCCCAGTTATTCAGACTCATTTAAGTAAAGGTTAGAGTGAGTGAGGAATAGAGCCAAATGAGGTAGATGTCTGAGCCATGAAGTATAAACATTGAAAGATGTCACTTTTATTCAGGAAATAGGGGCAATTCAAGCTATATGGATTCCTACTCAAAAATCTTGACACCTGACTTTCCAGGATGCACATTTTCATACGTAGACCAGTTTTCTCTTGGTTTCTTCAGTTAAATCAAAACTACACATTCCTCTTTCCCCACATATTTTTGCTCATTAGTGTATTTCTTGAGCTGTTTTCATGTTGTTTCTTTCTTGTGAAATGGTGTTTTCTGGTTTTTTTTAAATTGGGACCGCCAAGTTGCAAAGATGTATGTTTTTAACTGACAGTTATACCACAGGTACACTATGTCAAGTTAAGAAAAGTGAATCAATAACTTGTATTTGTTTTAAAAATTAGGAGGGGCACAGTGGCTGGTGGCTCACGCCTGTAATCCCAGCACTTTGGGAGGCCAAGGCAGGTGGATCACAAGGTCAGGAGATTGAGACTATCCTGGCCAACATGGTGAAACCCTGTCACTACTAAAAATACAAAAATTAGCCAGGTGTGGTGATGCATGCCTGTAATCCAAGCTACTCGGGAGGCTGAGGCAGGAGAATCGTTTGAACTAGGGAGTCAGAGGTTGTAAGCCGAGATCGTGCACTACACTACAGCCAGGCGACAGAGGGAGACTCCGTCTCAAAAAAAAAAAAAAAAAAAAAAAATTAAATTAGTCCTTGATAAAAATTTTTTTTTTTTTTTTTTTTTTTAAAAAGAGTTAGTCCTTGACCACTAGTTTAATGCCATCTACATTTTGGGTGACCTGTCTCACCAGCAGAGTCGTCACTCTCTATGACTGTGTAAATGCTTAAAATGGAATAAATTGCCTTTCTACATTAAATAAAAAAGATTAATGCTGTACGATTCCACTTCTATGAAGTACCTATCATAGTCAACTTCACAGAGACAGAAAGCAGAATAGTGGTTGTCAGGGGCTGGGGGTGGGGAAAGGAATGGGGAGCTGTTGTTTAATGGGTACAGAGTTTGAGTTTTGCAAGATCAAAGAGTTCTGCAGATTGGTTGCAAAACAATGCATATGTACTTAACACGACTGAACTGTACACTTGCAAAATAGATAAGATGACATATTTTGTCATGTATATTTTACCACAATTTTAAAAATTAATTGAAAAAACTTTCTACAATAGAATAAATGACTCACAAATAACCAGATGGAATATTATCATGACCTAAAAAGGTTTTTGATAGAACTTAATGTGAAAACAAAAGTTCTGCATACACTGTTCCAACACATACAGACAATAAAAAAAATGAACAAATTTGTTGTGAGGGGCAAGAAGATCAAGGGAGTCTTCCCCGGCGCAAAGTGTATGTATGGCGGGGAGGCTGAACAGTTATGACTGAAACTGCTCTAATCATCATTTGTTTTCAAATTGTCACCACAGACACTCTTCCTACATTTCCACTCCCTTTAGAGAGAAGAATGCATAATTTAAGTCGGTTTACTTGTTCTACATCCCTGTGATTCGGTTGTTATTTTGATACAATTTTCTCAACAGAATATACCATCCAGCCAACCAAACAGAATAATGGGGTGACTCAATCCAAGACAGCCAAATCCCGCTTATGTGGGAATGAGTGATTCACTGAGTGGCAAGCTGAGGCCTCGCTGTACTGTGGCCCAGGGCATCCTTAGCACAAGGCTGGCAATGAACTGAACCCACAAGAAGCAGAGAACAGACCTCACTTACATGAGGTTACTCCCCAAGACAGCCTCTGATTTTTTTTTTCCAAAAACAAATGCAAATGATTTGAAGATCACTTTTTATATTACCCATATAAGTAGTATAAATACGATTTTTAATGCATGCCTTTCAAAATTTAACAAAATGGAACTTTAACACTTATTTTTTTTGCTTATTCTCTTATTTAAAAAGTTTTTTTTTCCTTTTTAATTGTGAAATCTCTACACTTAGCTAACTCCTCCCCACTCTGCCAAGAAAAATAATAAAAGGTTTTATAATAAGGAATCTGATAATCTGCTGAGGGCCGAGCCAAAAATTAAAAATATGTGCTTTGAACACATAAAAGTCAGCAGTAAATAAAGCCTTGAAATGTCTCAATTTCACGGAACACTGACGGTCTGAATGTAGCCCCCACGTAGCTTGTACTTGTGGTTCCTGGGCTATGGGCTTATTTCTACTATTGTATATCTCAAGTTCTCTAACTTGGGTACACTGTGGCAACAATCAATAGATTAGTTTAGTACTTCTGCAATGAACTATGTTTTCCAGATTTGTTGAACTTACTTTGTAACACCATTCAGACACAGGAAACTATTATAAGAGCAAGTTGGAGGCCTCAATCTTAATTCAAAGATGTTGCGGCAATAACAGAGAAAGGAATAGCTGTTCAGCCAGTGCCCAAGAACATAAACGCTTTTATATCACTCACCAACTAAAGGGAAAGACTTGTCTCTCCTTATATTACATCAGGAAGGAAGAACATGATGTTTTTAGCACCTTGTTCACGCAGCATTTGTTCAACAGTTTATTAAACAGAACATCTTCCATATGCAGAAAAGGTAAAGGTGTTTTGGAAGTGGTAAATGGAAAACTCAACATCAAAGGTCAAAGAAGAAAAGCAATCTATTCCCTCAGATGGTGGCCAAGGAAAATAAAATGGGAAATGATTTATTGGAAGGGTTTTTCTTGACATGATTTATATTGTTATTAAGAATATTTTTCAAAAGGAAACCATCTGATTTATTCTGAAAGCATCTTACTTTAAAAGTACTCTCAATGCTTCCTTTATGTATTACAGACAGAATCCTTAGAGGTCTTATATGAGACTGGACAGCATGTGTGGAATGTCCCTTTTTGAATCCTGCTACATATCAGATAAAATTCATTACCTGTGATTATCCTAAAAAGTTAAATCACTTCCACAGTAATACCAATGGCTCTACTCATTCATGAGGTCTCCTCCTCCCAAAAGGCCTGAGAAACAGGTACAGTCACCCAGGTGCAACTACACGGCCTGCACGCTCCACTGCTCCACATCTTCTAAGGATCCAATTTTGAATTTCCAATTCTCAATGGTTTCCCATAGTACACAGCTGACACTGAGCCTACTCATGGAAGGATTAAAACATCAACTCCATCCAAGCCAAATAACTAGGAAAGCAATTGAGAAGTCAGGCCAACCAAAAAATAAAGTTCAGTATCATAGTCTAATAAATATAGTTTTCCAGTTTGTTCCTTGGCTCCTCCAAGTTATCTAAGAGAAAACTGTAAATTTCTTTAAAAAACACAATAATTTTTTTAAGAGATTTAATTTTAAAATCACCCATCTGAGTCATGACTGGATAATGTTCCTCAGTTTAAAATAAATAAAAAGTGACCTTTCTTATACTTAGGGCTATAGGAAAAATTCTAATGAATCTAGTTGTGTTCCACTCACTCATTCAAAACATGTTTGCTGAGACACGGTCTCAAAAAGAAAAAGCAATAACTCATTTTATTTAATTTTTAAATGGAAAAATAAAAGATTCATAAAACTACGAAAAAAAAAAAAAAAAACATGTTTGCTGAACACCAAGTACACAGCAGGCCCAGTGCTACGTGCAGAGGACTCAAAGATGACCAAAAATACTCCTGCTCTTCACAGAGCATACACTGTCCAGTTTGGCAGCTAGAAAGTCCAAATAGCCCTTCTAATAAATAGCAATGCAAAGTGGGTAGATGGTGGTTACTCTGACTCACATCATTATCCCTTGTCATCATATTTTATGTGAACAAATGAGGGCACCCTAACACCATGTGTGTCTTCTCTAGTATTCTTTTTAAAGATATATACGTATGTCTCCAATCACTCTCTATATTTTAATTCTCTGCAGAGCGCTTATTACTATTTGATATCTGTGTCATTATTTGTTTGAATAAATGTAAGTCCCCAAGAGTGGGGACCCTATCTCTGTTACATGCTGCTGTCTGTACTACGTACAACAGAATCTGGAGTTTAACAGGTTCTCAATACATGCCTGTTTAATGAACCAACCAACCACGTACTACGAAATCTGTACTTCCCATTTCATCTGATGAACTGTCCTCTACAGGGTCAAAAAATGACTAGATATAAGATCTTCCTCACCTGAACCTGTAAAAAGGCTTTTTCATTCACAAAAGTAAATGTGCTTATTTCCTTTACCAGAAGATAGCTGTGGGGAAATTCATGGAAAGTCTTTATTTGCTTTTCAGACATGACTCAAACCATGACCTTTGGGGACCTTTTAATCTAAAGGATGGCATGCCTCTAAAAACACTGATGGCCACAGCCATTTAGTTTATGAGTGTTTGATTTACAAATGTTTGGAGTAAGTCCAGTCTTCTGTTCAGACTTGTTTTCCTTTTGTGCCCACCCTTTTGGGGAATATAGAAGTTTGTAGCCACCACCAGCTCACCCCAGACATCCCTGGAAGTCAGGGGCACCTCAGGCCTGGAAGGGTGCCAGTCCCCAGAGAGCATGGCCCCTATGTGTACAGTGATGTTTACGCTTATAGCCACTGCAGTTTCTGTTTATGTTTGTTAACTGCTTATGATATGACCTTACATCTTATCAGAAAAAAAAGACTTTGTAATTCACTGGCTGGTGCCGAGAAGCCATGAAATTCACCAAGATCAGTGAAGCTGTTAGCCTGTAGCAGGCAGGGGATGGGAGGACATCTGGGTGGGGCTAGTCTACTCTGGGTCTCCTCCCCACTGAGGGAAGAATAAGCAGAGCCTGGATGGTCCATTCCTACAGCTTGAGATAGTAATGATCTACAGGTAGATCACTATTGAGCCATTCTCTAAGAGGCACCCTAAAAACAATAATAACCAGGCCCTTGCTCCTTCCTTCCTATGGACTATTGCTCTGACGGATGCATTTCTAGGACACACGTACACTATGAAGGCATCCCCTGAGTATGGCAAAATATACTCAGTCATGGAAATAACTCAAAATACAGATAAGTTCAACAACAAGATGACAAAAACAGAATTTCACTTTTTTTTTTTTTGAGATGGAGTTTTGCTCTTGTTGCCCAGGCTAGAGTGCAATGGCATGATCTTGGCTCACTGCAACTTTCGCCTCCTGGGTTCAAGTGATTCTCCTGCCTTAGCCTCCTGAGTAGCT